GGAGCCTGCAGTTCCCGAGCCCCGTGTGCGGCACCGCCACAGTCGGGGCAGCGGCGGCCGGGGGAGCGCTACTACCATGAACTGCCCTGCGCTCCTCCCCAGAGCTGCTCATCCGGGTCGGGCTGGACACGCAGTCAGGGCACCCCGCCGCCGCTCCCCGTCTCCCTTCGGCTCCATCTCCTCCGCCCTCTCCTCTCCTCCCTCCACCTTCTCTTCCTGCTTCCCCCCCTCCCCCGCCGCGGATCCTGGCCGCCGCTCTCCAGACCCAGGATGCCGGGGGGCAAGAGAGGGCTGGTGGCACCGCAGAACACGTTTTTGGAGAACATCGTCAGGCGCTCTAGTGGTAAGGAGAGTTGCCGTTCAGAGCACCCCAGCTGCACCCCGCGCGCGCCCCCCACCCTCCCGTCCCGTCCCTTCCCGGTCCCAAGGGGGGAGGGGGACGCAGGGCTCCCGTACCTGCTGGCTCGGGTCGGAGCCGGACTTGACTTGGGGTAGGGTTGAGTGGGCGGTGGCGGGAGAAAGTTAGTTGGATCTCCTTCCCCGGAGAGGTACGCCCCCTCCCACCTGTCCGGAGCCCCGCTCGGCCGCACCGGGGCAGGGGTGGGTAGAGGGTAGGCGCATCCGGACACCGACTGGGCTTTCCCTCGGAGGAAGGCTGCCCTTCGCGTTCATCCTTTGTCCGCATTTTCCCTGAAGTAGTCTTCGGGGACTGACCACATTCTCAGAGTTCGTCTGGGAGGAAGGGTTTCCTTTACGTGGGGGGTGGCTGCTTAATCAGATTTAAGGGTCTGGAAGGTGTTTTTGTTTTTTTTTCTCCCCCAATGGGTGCAGCTAGCTGTAGGGTACCCTATATAAAAGAGAGTAGTTGGAGTCGAACCTAAAAGAGATTCAGTGCTTGAGAAATGGGAAGGCAATTATTAGGGCCAAATTTGTGTTTAAAGTTTCTGGTTTTTTATTGTTTTCACTCTAAACTGGTCTGTACGATATATTTCATTTGGCTTACAGAGGAGAAATGTAGAAATTAAGCAGTAGCTACTGTACTTTTAATGCGACTGTAGACAAAATTAAAAAATGGCATTCTACTTTGTTACTGGTATTAAGGTTTTCTTGCCAAGTGACTTTAAAATACCATTCATTTATGCATGCATTTCCCAACAACAAATTCTGGATGGCAATGGCCATATATTTCACATTTAAGACAGACACATTTTTCATCTTAGTGAAATCTGTATCTTTTACTTGTTTTTAATTCTTTTCTACACATTTCAGTTTCATAAGCAAGATATGTTGTGTATCCTTTAAAGTTTTTTTTTTTTTTTTCCTTCAGAGGCCTGTTATTTTATTGGGAGGTCCTGTGCTTGGAGAGAGGCAGTTCTATGAGACACAGTTCTGCATACGAAATACAGTCGATGTTGGAACAAAGCAGTGGACACTATGCAGAGTCGTAATTTCTTTTTGATTCATTGAAACAACATTTACTTGAGTGCTTTTTACAGCGCATACTCTGTGGGTCCTTTGGGTAAAAAAGTGATTAAGACAGTTTCACTGTTTTCAAGAAACTCCTGCCCGATAGGCAAGACAGAAGCACAGTCACGTGCCGACGAACAGTCAGATGCTGTACCAGGATGCTTTCTCTGAGTTGGTGAATTAGATTATACTGCGTCTTAGACTACGATCTCCTTTAAAATGAGGTTTGCAAATATTTCCCCTTAGTTTGGGACTATGAGTGTCCCAAAGTGTTTTTCCTAAATCTCTGACTCGGTATATGGTTTTAATTTGGGGTTTGTGACATCGTTTCTTTCCCTTTGCCCAATGCCTGATATTAAATAAGTCTGAAGCAGCATTGTTACATTCAGTTTGGAAAAAAATAACTAGTGAGGTTTGGTCTACATTCATTTTAATACCTGTAATATTATTTGCCCTTCCAGGGTGACTTCATAGTTTTCAATTTTTATGATGTAAAATATAGATTCGTAATAGTAGCAGCTTCAGTACCTAGCAGTACCTTCTTGTACTGATATCATGCCTAGATCTAGCATACAAAGGAATACTGCTGTTAAAACAATTGTGGGAGAATTGGAATCAGCTATTTGTGATAGATAAGTCTCAGTTCAGTCTTCTCATCCTCTTGGGTTTTTCAACTTCATGCAGTTTGGCCCATGAGAGGACTTTTCTCCGAAGCTTTAGAAATAAAACCCACAGTCTCTCTGCTGCTCTGCACAGTAGAGAGGCAGATGATAAGAATCCCTCGATGGAAGTTTATACTGCAGCACCTTTGGTTGAACCTGCTTACACAGACTGGAATGATGAGCTCATCTTTAGAGTATGTTTTATTTCAGATGTAGCTTGAAATTAAGATTCACCTTCTGTGGCCTGGAGATACCTGCTTCTGTTGCTTCCGTTGTACGTCTGTCTTCCAGCTTAGTGAATGTTTTGTCTTTCCTATGTGTTTCTTTCCATGTGTGTGAAACTCCGAATGTGAGTGAAAAATGTATCAGTTTCATGATTTGAAAATTCCACCTGTAATTTCCCGAGGTGGGACTTTGAAGAGCACTATTTAAAACCCTTGAGGTTTGTTTGAAAGGTGTTGGGTATTTGAAGTTATATGCAAATCCAAATGTAATAAGTACTGAGTAGTCTTAGTATGCCTTTCACAGGAAGTACCTCAGAAATTGAGAATTATGGTATGAAGTTGATTCCCATGTTCATGTGGGAATATCCCTCAGTTGTCATTTCTGTATGATTTGTCAGGGAGATCGAAAAGTTCATTCTGCAAGATGGTTTAATTAAGATTAATAGAGAAAATTCCCTTCAGGATTCTCAGAGATGGATCAGGTTTGTCACACTGAAGATTTCCTGAATCACTAACTTAACAACATTGGAAGGGAAACATTGGTAGAGCTTTAGTGAGAAAAGAAAGCAAAGGAGCCAACACCTGCAATTGGTTTAAGACCTAAGGAAACAGAATGGCATTGCATTTTGACCTGTACCACACGGGAAGCTTCTCTTTCTGATACGTCGTCATCTGGGTCCTCATCAACAGATCAGATCCTGTAGTGAGAGTCAGACAAACCTAGAAATATATATACGTAGAAGTACAGAAGACACAGAAACATACAGATACACAGATGGGAACATTTGAAATCCTCTCTACGAGCTAGTTTGAAATATTGAATTAATTATTGTTAACCATAGTTAAGGTTAACAAGTTTTTGGTAGTAGTATCAAAATACGTTATCATGGAAGGAGGGCTTGAGAACTGTGTGGTGAGGTCATCACATCTGAACAACATCCCCTAGAAGTCGCCTGCCTCAAGTGCTTACTGAATAGAACATTAGTAAGACATTTTCCCTTATCTGAATTTTAATTATGCATGCAAGGTATTCATCAATATAAATTAAGTATAGGAAGCAGCAAACTTGTGTCAAAAGGTTAAATGCCTGAAAGACAGCAACTTTTTTTTTTTGGATGTCTAAGTGGAGTTTTAGATTTAGAATGCAGAACATGTTTCAGAGTTCTCAATCTGGTCATGTCTCTGGGCAGCACATTTTATTCATTTATTGTCATTGATTTTGTAATATGTAAGCACAAGTGATTTGTTTGGGTGAGTAAAGTAAGTTGCCGGTCTGAAAAGTTATAACTATGCATTAGCATCCTTTTATTAGAAATTTATTAATATTTTAAGCACTATGAAAAATGAGACCTGTTTTCCTAGTTTTATGAAGTGTTTTTCTCTTTGGAGGAGAAAAGGGCCCAGGGAAGACGATTGAACGTAGTATTTTATGAGTCACTCATTCTTCAAGAGGAGAAGCTCTGTATCCCCAATGTTCCGTTTTTCTAGAGATAGCTGGGATGCATAGCTACTTACTCAGCCACTTCTTACTTATACAAAGTCCAGATTTACCTTTGTATTGTACCTGACATTTGTATAAATCGAGGTCTTAAAAGATTCTCAGATGACAGGATGCAGAATTGGTTTTTTCAAAACAAGATAAAACAAAACAAAAAGGGAATCCTCATTTTTAAGTGGTTTTCCAGTTTCAAACACATGATAAAAACTAAATGGATTTATTTTTCTTACAAAATTCTTGATATATTTTTCTGGAAAGGTTTTCTGTAACATCCAAGACACTGTTCAGGAAATATTGATAAAACCACATGGTGTTTTGGAAGCATTGGTTTACCCACATCTTATAATGTCCCACTTTAACATTTAAAACAGCAAAGAGGTTGGAATTATGCTGACCACTTCCTAAATCATATCGATAAAGAAACCAGAGGATTGCGTTTTGCTTTCAAGCCCACACTGCGTTATATAATGGGCAGTGCAAGGGCTGACCAAGGGCTGCCTACCTCAGGGCGCTGCTGTGGGAACCAGAAATCACTCTTTTTGTTTATCTTTTGCTTGACTCCAGAAGTAGGATGTGTAAGAAATCCACTTACTTAGTCACCTTTTAACTGACCTACTTAAATAAAACCCATACAAGCCACTATTTTTAACAGAAGGGAATAATTATGCCTATTTTAATTGACAATGACTGAGTAGCTGTCCATGAAGAAAGCTTTTAGGTTAATCAGTGCTTATTATTATTTTTTTTTTACTTTTGTTGGAATCAATAGCTGTTCCCTGGCTGGGAGGAATAATGCTCCTCATCCCCCAGGGAGCCTAGGTAAAGATCGCATTGTGCACCCAAGTTCTGTATTTCCCGCTTACCACAAGAGGTCACTGTAGGTTCTGTCGCAGGTGAACCGAGTCCGAAACCTCTTTGCTTTGCTCTCCCCTTCCCTCCACCCCCCAGATAAGTGTGGTTAGTTGTTCCTCCTGGAAGAAAATATCTAAAATGTAAAGCATACAGGGAATTCAATCGTAAAAAACTTATTTAGCTTATTAAAATTTACCTTAATTGACAGTGACCAACATTTTTGGGCTACATGAATGTGATTTTTAATAAAAGTAATTAATATTGTAATGTGATATTAATTAATAAAGTACACTTTAGACTAATTGTTACTTTAGCATAGTAACAAGTTTTATTGTGATATGCAACTTTAGGGTCATGGCAACAAAGTTCTGCAGAATAATGTAATGTGCATAATGCTTCATAGTAGAAAGATGACTACACATTTCCTATTTCAACAGAAGGTTTCCTCTATTTAAAGTCTTTTTATAGACTTGTGAGGTAAATCAGTTTAATTTTATTGAAAGGTAGTTCACAAATAGTTAGTTGCTTTCATAGGATGTTATATGCTTCTGGTATTTTGACGTTATCCAAATACTGAAAACATAAAGCCAAAACGAATTACCTTTAAAGTTCTGCAAGTTATTAAACTCCAAAAGACATG